GTAATTATTATGTAGTGCCCTTCTTCATCTCTTGTGATTGTCTTTAATTTAAAGTCCAGTTTGTCTGATATAAGTATCGCTACTCCGGCTTTCTTTTGATTTCCTGTAGCATGATATATATTTCTCCATCCCCTTACTTTTAATCTGAAGGTATCTTCCCGTCTAAAATGAGTTTCTTGTAGACAGCATATTGATGGATTTTGTTTTTTAATCCATTCTGCTACCCTATGTCTTTTGATTGGAGCATTCAGCCCATTTACATTCAGTGTTATTATTGAAATATGTGGGTTTAGAGTCTTTGTATCTTTTGTAGGGTTCATGTTTGTGGTGGTGTCTCTGGTATCTTTGTTCCTTGCAACCTTTCCTTCAGAGCATCCCCCTCAGGATTTCTTGTAGGGCTGGCTTCGTGGTGACAAATTCTTTCAATTTCTGTTTATTTGGAAAGGTTTTTATCTCTCCTTCTATTTTGAATGACAGGCTTGCTGGATAGAGGATTCTTGGCTGCATATTTTTACTGTTCATCACATTGAAGATTTCCTGCCATTCCTTTCTAGCCTGCCAAGTTTCAGTAGATAGGTCTGTCACGACTCTGATAGGTTTCCCTTTGTATGTTAGGGCCCTTTTCTCCCTAGCTGCTTTCAAAATTCTCTCTTTGTCCTTGTATTTGGCCATTTTGACTATGATATGTCGTGCAAAAAATATGGAACGCTTCACGAATTTGTGTGTCATCCTTGCGCAGGGGCCATGCTAATCTTCTCTGTATCGTTCCAATTTTTAGTATATGTGCTGCCGAAGCGAGCACTGATTCAATTTCTTTAGTACATATAGGCCTATTCAGAATTTTTTCTAATGTGAGTTTTGGAAGATTGAGCCTTCCAAAGGAATTGATCCATTTCATCTATGTTATCATATTTGTGAGCAGAGAGCTATTCATAGTATTACTTTATTAGCCTTTTAATATCCATATGATTTGTAGTGATGCCCCTTTCTTACTTCTGGTATTAGTAATTTGTGGTTTTCCTCTTTTTTTTCTTAGTCTGGACAGAGGCTTGTTGATTTTATTGATCTTTTCAGAGAACCAGCTTTGTTTCATTGACTTTCTCTGTTAATTTTTTGTTGTTGATTTCCTTGATTTCTGTTCTAATTATTTTTTTCTTTTTATTTTAGATTTAATTTGCTCTCCATTTTCTTAATTCCTAAGGTTGAAGCTTATATTACTGAGTTTGGATCTTTCCTTTGTAATATATGCATTCAGTGTGTTAAATTTTCCTCTTTGAAGTGCTTTTTCTGCATCTGACAAATTTTGATGTTGTATTTTCATTTTCATTAAGTTAAAAACACTTTAAAATTTCTCAAGATTTCTTCTTTGGCCATGCTGTTTAGAAGTATATTGCTTAATCTCTTAAGTATTTTGGTATTTTCCAGCTGTCTTTCTGTTACTGATTTGTAGTTTAAATTCTTATGGTCTGAGAGCACACATTGTTTGATTTCTATTCTTTTAAATTTTGGGGTGTGGGGTGTGTGTGTGTGTGTGTGTGTCCTAGGATGTGATCTGTCTTGGTGAATGTTCCATATGAGCTTGAGAAGAATGTGTATTCAGCTCTTGTCAGATGAAATAGTCTGTAGATGTCAGTTGATTGATGGTATTCTTGAGTTCACCTGTGTCTTTACATAGGAGGTATTAAAGTCTCCAACTGTAATGGTGGATTTGTCTATTTCTTCTTTCTATTCTATTAGATTTTGCTTCACATAATTGGACTCTGTCTTATAAGGCACATACACATTAAGGATTGTTGCATCTTCACGAAGATTGACTCCTTAATTGTTAAGTAATGCTCTCTTACCCCTAATAATTTCCTTGTTTGGAAGTCTGATCTGTCTGAAATTCATACAGGTACTCCAGCTTTGTTTTGATCAGTGTTAAACATAGAATAGTTTTTTTCTACATCCCTTTATTTTTAATTTGTGTATGTCTTTATACTTAAGTGGATATCCTGTAGACAACATATAATTAGGCTTTGTTTTTGCATCCACTCGGATAATCTCTGTCTTTTAATTGGTGTATTTACTCCTTTGACATTGAGAATGATTACTGAAATAATTTATTCATTCTTTAATGTTTCTTTATTTTTGAGAGAGAGAGAGAGAGAGAGAGAGAGAGCGCACAAGAGAGGAGGAGCAGAGAGACAGGGAGACACAGAATCTAAGGCAGGTTCCAGGCTCTGAGCTGTCAACACAAAGCCCCATGCAGGGCTTGACCCCATGAACCATAAGATGATGACCTGAGCCAAAGTCGAGACTTAACCAACTGAGCCACCTTGGTGCCCCTAATATAATTGATTTCATAGCTACCTTATTTGTTAATGTTTTCTATTTGTTGCCCTTGTTATTTGTTTTGATTTTTCTCTTTGGCCATCATTTCTTCAGGTATGTATATTTTCCTGTCATTCTCCCCCTTCTGAGAATCCAATTACATTTATATTAAACTGATTAATAGTATCCCAGGTCATTGATGCCTTTTCCTTTATTTGTAGTCTTTTTTTCTCTGTGTGCTTCAGTTTTGGATGGTTTCTATTTCTGTGTATTCTAGTTCACTGATTTTTTTTTTTCCTGCAGTACCTAAAGTGCTGTTACTCTAATTCAGTGGGGGTTTTTTGTTTTGTTTTTTGTAATTCCAAATACTATATTTTTCATCTTTATAAGCTTCATTTTATGTATATATATATACACACACACACACACACACACATATATGAAAGCTATATATGTGAAAGAAAAGAAAGATGTGTATATATCTTATATAATATACCTATGTGTCATGTATCATATATGTCAGGTATATGAAAAATGAAAATTTCTCCTCTCCTAGTTTTTTTTTTTTTTTTTTTTTTAGGGTTTTACTTTTAAGTCATCTCTACACCCAGTATGGGGCTCAAACTTACGACCCTGAGATCAAGAATCACATGCTCCAGTGACTAAGCTAGCCAGCACCCCTCTTCTCTGTTACTTTTTAAATGGATGCTCGATATTGTGAATTTTGTTTGGTGTCTGATTTTGTTAAATTCTTTTAAGTAGTGTTGGACTTTGTGCTAGTGACTAATTAAATTGTTTGGAATAACTTGAATCCTTTGGACGCTTGGTTTAAGCTGTTAGGTGGGTGGAGGGCAGCCTTTGACATAGAACTAAGTTAGCCCTGCTACTAAGATGATGCTTTTCCAAGGACTCTATCCATTCTCCTATGTAGCAGGAGCCATTCTAGCTCTGAGAACACGAAACCTCCAAGCCCTGTGTTAGGTCTGAGATTTCTTTGGCCTGTTGTTTGCTGGTGCTTCTCCTGTTATTGGGAAGTTTTCATTCACACACGCACTGGTCAGCGCTCAGCTGAAGGCCTGAAGGAACCCTTCTGTCGACATCCACTTGTTTTCTCTCCGTGCAGGTTCTCCTACCCTGGTATCCTGTTGTACAAACCCTTGTTGCCTTGGCCTTGGCCTCGGCCTTCCTAAGCTCCAGTTCCTAAGCTTCCTAAGCTCCTGAGTCCTCACAGCTCAGCAAGAAGGAAAACTGACAACTCTGGGTTCTCTCTCACTCCCCACTCTCTATTCTGATTTTGAAACCTACCATAAGCGAGGGCAATTTTAGGGCTCATCTATTTTATTTTTCTATCCTGGGGATTGTATCTTGCTCTGTTTTCCAGTGTCAGAAACCTTTGCTTCTTATGTTTGGTCCATTTAATAGTTGTTTCAGGTAGGAGGGCAAACCTTGTGACTGTTCCTCTGGAATGTTCAGAAATAGGAGCCCTTCAGTTGCCATTTCGCATTTCCACTATTTTGTTTAGAAGTTAATTTTCCTGGGGCGCCTGGGTGGCTTAGTCGGTTAAGTGTCCGACTTTCGCTTAGGTCATGTACTCGCGGTTCGTGGGTTCGAGCCCCGCGTTGGGCTCTGTGCTGACTGCCAGCTCAGAGCCTGGAGCCTGTTTCAGTCTGTGACTCCCTCTTTCTCTGACCCTCCCCTGCTCACGCTGTCTCTCTCTCTCTCTCTCTCTTAGAAATAAATAAAACATTTAAAAAAAAAAAAAAGAAGTTAATTTTCCTGACACGTGTAAGGGTGTGGCGGTCTTTGTCTTTTAGTGTAAATCATCGTGGGTCTTGGTATCTTGATAAGAAGCCTCTGCTGCCTATCAAGGAAATCATACACTGCTGGGGAATAGTACTGATGAGTTCTCTTCTTTGAAATAGAGGGAGTGATGTCCTAAGCAGAGGGGACAGAAGGTTTTTTTTTTTTTTTTGCCTAACATGGGGCATCATTTCTTAGAATATGCAACAACTTGGCCATTGGTTTTCTTTCACTGCATGTGGTTTGCAGTTGATTTTTCGGCTGATGAATTCACCACCTACTCCATTCTTGGGTTGTGAATCCATAGGCTTGAATTCTGTTCTGAGGTTCCAAGACTCTGCGACTGCTGAGTTGGTTGGTTTTTTGCCTGGAAAAATGTTAGGGCAAAATTGATATTTTGATTGGGGAGAGACAGAGGCAGATTTTCAGATGAAAGCTGTTCCACCCCAAATAATGTAAAAAAAAAATTTGGGGCTTATTATGTAAAGGCATGGGTAGAATTAGATGTATCGTCGGAATGAGAAAGAAGTTCATAAATAGTAAACTTAATGGTGAGGGGGCATCATAAGACCACACATAAGCAGGGTCGCCGTATGTACTGTTTGTTAAAGACGGTCCTGGTTTACACTTGTTGTTTTGGAGTAATTAATATCCCCTTTCACCCTTGGATAATGTAATGGCTTTGATGTCTGTCCGTAACACTTACACATGTACAAAGTCATCCTAGTTAGAAATAATGAATTAGGAATACAAAGTAGGTGTTAATTCCTTGGCCATTGTATGTTTGTTGAACAGTTTATTATAGTGACGTGTGCGTGTGTGTGTGTGTGTGTGTGTGTGTGGTTTTATTTTATTATTTTTTTAAATTTTTGGTATTTTTCCTACAGACGATCTCAATGCCACCCACCAACACTGTGTTTTGGCTGGTTTACCACCTCGGTTTAGTTCCACCCACCGAGTGGCAGAGGTAAGTGTAAATAAAAATGTGTTTCAAACTTAATTGGATGTGACAGTAGTGGTTGAATGAGCAATTTCACATAGAGTTTTGGAAGAGTATTTGATAGGAAAATTGCTTCCATCGAACTTGACTTGAGCCTTTATTTACTTGCTTTTTCAGCTTTGAATTGTGTTGGATACAGTTTTAGAAAGTGCATTCACAGCATGGGATAAGTATATTTTGCTTCTTGGGGGTTATGTTTCTTGGAGAAGGTAAAACATCATTGGCAGGTGTTACTAGTTAGAGATTTTCTTAGGGGTTTGTATCTGTCAAGGTCAAAGACAGGAGATGGCCAGAAGGAAATGGGGTGGATTTGTGTGCTTGTGCATATGTTAGCTGTGACTGGCTCTGATGGTTGGGAATTTATATTTCCCTTAACTTTTTGGTCACGCTTCTGGGCATGTGAACGTAAATTAAGGAGAAAGTTACAGTGGTGCCAAGGAATTTCTGAGCTCCCCAGTTGTGTTCCTAACCCAGACTTTATTGCTCAATTCTGCCACCACTTGCAGTGGCCCATGGTCAGCTGATGAGACGAGTTCAGAATGGAACCCTAAGAGGTGAGGAAAAACTCTGAATAGTCACCCTGGGGTACTGGGTGATCAGTTAAGAAGGGTTCCCTAGAGCAGGGGAATAATCAGGAGAGGGATGACAAGTTGATCTCGTATCCAAGCTTGTTTTCTGTGCTTTTGCTCTGTAGGTTGACTTTTCATTGTACCACAGGGGGACCAGGGTGGGAAATTGGGCAGAAGAGATACAACGAAGTAGCAGGGAAACACAAGCACAAGGCCGAGACTGCAAGGCTGTGGCTTGTCTTGTGGTAATTCCATAGCTTTTCTCGTGAACCGGCCGTGGTGCTATGGGGCAGAGAGGGCACAAGGGTCTGCTGCGTCAAGATGCCAGCCAGCCCATCAAACATCCTTCCCTGCCTTCCTCCTTATGCCCCTTTCTCCTCTCTTCCATTCACTCGTCTCAATATTTGAGGGCCAAGGTGGCTCAGTCGGTTGAGCGCCGACTTCAGCTCAGGTCATGATCTCCCAATTCGTGAGTTTGAGCCCCACACTGGGCTCTGTGCTGAAAGCTTGGAGCCCAGAGCCTGCTTTGGATTCTGTGTCTCCCTCTCCCTCTGTCCCTGCCCTGCTTGTGCTCTGCCTCTCTCAAAAATAAACAAGCATTAATAAATATATATTTGAGTCCCTGTTACGCATTCAGCAGCACTACAGGCTTAAGAGATGGGGCCATGAACATCATCAATGTGACAACTCTGGCCACTATCTTTGTTGAACTTCCATGTTAGTTAGGGAGACAGATACCAAACAAAGAAACACACAGGTAATTATCTTTGAGATCTAAAAGTAAGTTCTCTTAGGAAGTTGGGAAGGAAGGACTGTCTGAGTGGAGGGAGGAACTTAAGAGTGAATGCATGATTGAACAGACTAGTGAATGAACGAATCAGCTCTTTATTGGATGCTTTCCCTGTGCCAGGCTTTTGGCTGACTCTCGAGCCTGGGTGATTTAGGGATGCCATTGCCATTAGCAGAAATGGCAGTGTACGTATTAGGGGAAGACAGTAGTGCATTCCGTTTTGAACACACTGAGTTGGAGCTGCTCCGTGGAGCGGTCCAGTGGGCAAATACAAATAAGGGATTAAAACTCTCCTCCACCTCCTGCAAAAAGTACATACCTACACAGAAGCCTCCAAAAGGCACCTTACAGAGTACAGTTTGAACAGTGCCCCTGTGGCCTGATTTCCTTTTTCCCAGGCAGACCAATTTTAATAGAGTAGCAGTGCTTTCAGAATATCCTGAGGTTTAGCCTTTTCTGCTTGGTCACAGCTGTGTTTATATCTTCTCATTTTTAGACAACATTGCGAACATTAATTAACTTTCCAATAGCGAGGTGGGTGTGTATGGTAATGCTATGGGGAAAAAAGCATTATCTCAAATCTAAGTCTTTTATAATCTCTGTACTTCAGTTCCAGCTACATGATCTTTTTTTTTTTTTTTTTCCTCCCCACTAATTAGGCATATCCAGTGTGAGTGATGTGACTATCTTGCTTTCTGTATTATGGATCAGGTCAGCACACTATGGCCCATGGGCTAGCCAGCTGTTTTTATAAATAAAGCGTTAATTGAAACACAGCCACACTCCTCTGATTCTGTGTCATTTTTGTCTGCTCTGGAGTTAGAGGGGCAGAGCTGAGCAGTTGCAAGAAGACCTATGGCCGCAAGCCTAAAATACTTACTATCTGGCCTTCTAAGAAGAAATCTGCTGACTCTGTTATATATGATCTTATGTACAGGCTTTAATAATCACCATAAAGTAAAAAGTAATTTTGGAAAAATAACCATTTTAAAGTGATTTTTTATTTCTATGCAAAGTCAAAAATGCTGATGTTCAATGCTGGTGAAGTTATAGTGAAACATACATTCATATAGTTCTGGAAGGTTTTCTAATTCGTATACTTTTTGGAGAACTAGGTGGGGATGTGTTAAATTACCATAAAAATACTCATATTTTTCATCTACTAACACTAAGTTTGGGAATCAAACCTAGGAAACAATTCAGAAGAAGTATATATGTGTGTGTGTATGTATATACGTGTGCATGTATATGTATATATATGATATATACGTATGTACGTGTGTATGCATATGTGGGTGTATGTATATGTCTATATTTATATGTGTATATATTTTTTATATATATTTACTTATAAACAAAGGTGTTTAAAAAATTTTTTTTTATGTCTTTATTTTGTTTTGAGAGACAGAGACCAAGAGCAAGTGGGGGAGGGGCATAGAGAGAGGGAGACACAGAATCGGAAGCAGGCTCCAGGCTCTGAGCTGGCTGTCAGCACAGAGCCTGACTTGGGGCTTGAACCCATGGACTGTGAGATCATGACCTTAGCCGAAGTCGGACGCTTAACTGACTGAGCCACCCAGGTGCCCCCATACAAAGGTGTTTAGAGTAATTAAGAGTAGCGAAAAGTTGGACAGAACTTCAGTGCCTTTGTAGCACATGACTGGTTAATTAAATTGTTATCACCTCCACGAGCAATCATTGAAAATGGTAGTTTTGGATACTCACATACAGAGAAAAACAGCCTATACACTGTTGTGTACTTACTGATCACAACTGTGTGAACCAAGACCCATATGCACTAAAAACAGTAAAAATTGAGAAAGGTGACAGGATCATGTTTTTATCTTACTTAGAAATTCTTGTTTCATGATACATTATTGTTTTCAGTAAGAAAAGAGGGAAACGACTTTTTCTGATATGAAAGTGACATCACTATTTCCCTCGACAGAAGAGGGGAAAACTCCGGGCAGTGTCACAGCCCTTGCTTGTTTCACGAGTGTCTTCTTGCCTGTCTCACCTGTGTAAACAAAGTGGTTTGCGATTTTCTTCCTATTCAATGTGGGAAGGAAGCGATGGTCTGAAATTCATCTTAGTTAATCAGAGAAGAAATCTAGTTCGTTTTCTGGTTACATGTGACCAGATTATGTCTGACAGCTCTTTTTTTTTTTTTTAAATTTTTTAATGTTTTTATTTATTTCTGAGAGAGAGAGAGACAGCATGAGCAGGGGAGGGTCAGAGAGGGAGGGAGACACAGAATCTGAAACGGGCTCCAGGCTCTGAGCTGTCAGCACAGAGCCCGACGCAGGGCTCAAACCCACGAACCGTGAGATCATGACCTGAGCCGATGTCGGATGTTCAACCGACTGAGCCACCCAGGCGCCCCTATGTCTGACAGCTCTTGACCTTTATCTGCTTTTAGTTTTCTTCTGGTTGGAACAGAAGAACTCCATTCTCCTGAATATCTTTTTTTTTAAATTTAGATTTTATATGTAATATATTTTGAATAGGTAATTACTCAAATGGTTCAGACTCTAAAAAGGACCCAAGAGTAAGTAGCTTAAAGTCTTTTTCTTCCTCCTAAAGCCAACCAGCTCCTTCTCCCCAGAGGTACCCAGAATTATCAGATTCTTATTCTCTTTTCTGTGATGCTTAATATGTATACAAACAAATATGTGTTGATATTTTTTATACAAATGGTAGCCTATTCTATATACCATTCTGCACTTTTGTTTTAGGGTTGTGGTGATAAGTGCTTATCAATATGTAATTCTTAGGGTAGACAATAATTATTTTTGATATGACACCACAAGCACAACCAACCAAAGAAAAAAATAGATAAATTGGACCTCATCAAAGTTAAAAACTTTGATACTCCAAAAGGTTCCATCCAGAAAGTGGAAAGAGAAACTGCAAAAGTGTTTTCACATTACTTTTCTCACAAGCTCCTTGTGTCTAGAATATATAAATAACTGTTACAACCCGGTATTTTAAGAGATACATAATCCAGTGTTTTTAAATGACAAAGGATGTGAATAGACACGTCTGCAAAGCAGGTCTACAAATGGCCAATAAACACACGAAAAGATGTTGAACATCATTAGTCATCAGGAAGATGCAAATGGAAAACCCAGTAAGGTATCACTTCACAGCCACTAGAGTGGCGATGATTAAAATCACAGTAACAAGTACCGGAGAAGATGTGCAGACACTTGGAACCCTCACGCGCTGCCGGAGGGAATATAAAATGGTTCAGCCACTTTGGACCACAATGTGACACTTCCTCAGAAGTTTCAATACCCTACGACCCAGCGATTCCGTACCCAAGAGAAATGAAAACTTCTACATGGCGGCTTGATTCGTAATAGCTGCGAAAAAAAGGAAACAACCCAGAGGTTCATCATACCATGAATGGAAAGGCAAGAGTGGTAGATCCTTGCAATCATCTGTGATTCGGCAGGAAAAGGGAATGAGCGACCGATACCTGCTGCAGCGTGTGTATGATTATATTTCTCTGGGTATGTATGTCTAGGGTAGCCAAACTGTAGTCACAGAAAGTAGATTCACGGTGGTCTAGAGCAGGGAGGGTTGGCCGGAAGGAGAGGAGATGACACAGAGCTCATACAGGGCTGCAGAGTGTGTTTTGGGGAGATGACAAAAATGGTCCAAAGTGAATTGTTAAAACGGTTGCCTAACTGTGAATGTACTAAACACCATGAATTGTATGCTTTCCACGTGTGACTTCTCTGATGTGTGTATCCTGTCCCCATAAAATTGTTCCCTCAACTTCCGCCCAAAACATAGGCCTCGTTGTAGGCTCTTTCCAACAGATAAAACCCTGTCCACCCAGGAAAAGAGTCACCCCCTCCCTGTTTTCGGCTGCGGGTGTGACTCCATCATAGTTTATTGAACGGGTCCCCTACTGATGGGAAATTCAGGTTGTTTCTAGTCTTTTGTTGTAGTCAATGGCATTGTGATAAGTAACCTCTCATGCAGGTCACTCGATCCTTGGGAAAGTAAAGGTGCGAATACAACATGTTTATAGACAGAATGTCATTTCATAAGCGGTTGTAGGTGTGGCCCAGGGACAAAAGTGAGTGGTGACTCAGCACCACTTTGTGTTTTTTCTTGGTAGCATATTGGAGCTGCCTGCCGTTGTGCTTCCAGCGCTCTGAGATCTTCATATTAAATATGCATTCGTCAGGCTTCTGTTTTTGGCACCGTAACTTTGTTTTTCCCAGGCTTATCCGTGACACCTTGCGTAAAATGGCAATAACTGTACAAAGGACTTTTATAACCAGGGCATTAGCCTTCAAGGTTCTTTCTAGGGGATCTGTTTGAATTATATACATGAAAATAAAAATACTTGAGTGATATGTTTTCCTCCTTGGGTCTAAAGAATAGTTGTAGCTTTTTATCATGCTAGGAAATCACGTCATCATCCGCATCCTCTCCTTTTCCGGCAGATGTCAGTCAGAGGAGGAGTTTGTCCATCTGACCTCTGTTTTTCTCCCACAGACACAGAGAGGGATGAACTAATTATCTGCCCTTGCCCATACTAAGTGAGGCCTTTGAACATGCCTTGAGGGCTCGAGCCAGGTAGTTTCCAAGTTTCCCATTCTACCAAGGACTGGCAGCTGCATACTGTATGGTTTTTGCAGAAGAGGAAAATGAGTTCTTTGCCCCATGTTTATAACTTCAGTTTTGTGTGTGTGCCAGTACTGTTCCATTTTGTGGGCTGCCGGACCAATCAGGCCGGTTGCCTTTCTTTCCCATTCAAGTTCAGGGCGCTTGTAATAAAGTCAGTGTCTTGGTTAATTAGTCATTCAGCCAATAACTGCTTGCTAAGTTTCTTTTATATTTAGTACTTGGTCCCAGATGCTGCAATATGTGTAGAAAGAAATATATAATAAGGGACGCCTGGATGGCTTAACACCACTTAAGCATCCGACTTCAGCTCAGGTCATGATCTCGTGGTCTGTGAGTTTGAGCCCCACGTGGGGCTCTGTGCTGACAGCTCAGAGTCTGGAGCCTGCTTCTGATTCTGTGTCTCCCTCTCTCACATCTGTCCCTCCTCTACTTGCGCTCTCTGCCTCTCTTTCTCTCAAAATAAATAAACATTAAAAAAAGATAAAAGAAATATATAATAAAATGTGTGTGTGTGTGTCTGTGTATGCGCGCACACACATGGCTTTAGCTTCAAGGAGCCCACTGTTTTGTGATCTAAGGCCCATAGAATGAAAGAAGCCCAGCCAGAAGAGTGGCCCCAGTGAAGGCAAGCTCGCAACACAGAGCCCAGTGAGCAGGCCACTCTAGTATTTCTCAGGCTGAATAGGGGCTGAGCTGTGGGGGTGTCAGGTGAATGTATGGACAAGGGACAAATGTGGATACCCCTAGGAAGAGTTGCTGGTAAACTTGAGTTTTGCTCCTAATCCTGATGGCTGGTTCTGTCTCTGCAGTGTTCCACCGGAACCTTGGATTACATCTTACAGCGCTGCCACATGGCTCTACAGAATGTTCGCGACGAGGCAGACCTTGGTGACGTTTCCTTGAAATGCTTTGAGCCCGCCATTCTGAAACAAGGAGAGGAAATCCACAATGAGGTGAGGACTTTCAAGAACCAGGGAGTGGCTCTCAAGCTAACAGGTTGATCGGCCGTAATTTCATGTGCGTGTAAGACCTGAAATTCCTCAGTGAGAGACAAAGAATAGTTTATTACTTAACAGCAACAGCGGTAGCCAGAGTATCGGCATTTTTGTCCCAGTTCTGCAAGCCTTTTTCTCCACAGGGTAATACAGAGCAGGAGCTATAACCTACGCACATGCAGGGGTTGTGTTATAGGAGAGGAACTTGAGCAAAGGGAGCCCAAATCTTTTCTAGTAGGTAGTAAGCACGCCTGGCATTTGATCCAAACAAGACACCGTCTTTATCCTCCAAGTCTGTTAGCGTCCCTGCCCTTTGTCCTTGTAGGAGAAGCTGTATCGTCCAAGGCTGTTCACTATACCAGCCATTCTTGCAATAATGAGGCTGAGATAGAGGGAAGGCAGTCCCTTGCTCGTAGGACACACAGAAGCCCAGGACTCATGAAAAACAGTCTTCTCGCAAAGACCCGTGGGAATGGGGGGGGGCGGACCCTAGGAGCAAGTGTCCAGGCCTCGCTTTTTATTTGCAGAGTGAGGTATGGGGTCTGCATCCGTGAGACGAGCAGCCCTGGATCCCACCAGCCAGTGTTTCACAAACTTTGCTCTTCTCAGTAACCCCCTCTCAGCTTTTGCTTTACCTTCGGACTGTAGGTATCATTGACCATTTAATACCTTTGAAAACTCAGCTCCTTTTTATGTAAATAGGTTTTCTTTGAAAAGGAAGCTTTGTACTACCACTTTAAGAAGCAAGCCAGTACCACTCGCCAAAAGAAAAAGGAACCAGAAAGATCTCGCCACTGTAAACAGACCAGTGTTTCTACCTACCAGCAGATGCTCTCGCGCAGGGTGGGTGGGGGGGCTGGGCTGGGCTTGAAGTCTCCATTATTCATGGGAAGTACGGAGAGCAGTGCACACCTTCCAGTGTTTTCAAACAGTCCTTGAATTCCACGTTTAAAATGGGGTGGATTTTGCGGTGGGCAAATTCGGTCTCAAAACAAAAAAACTTTGAGAGGAGAAAAGGGGTTCCCACGTGATGGAGAATTGTTGAAGGTTATCACCCACCAGAGACTTTCTTTTTGTTTGAATTGAAAGGGTCGGCAGAGACTCTGGAACACAAAAATGTTCTCTTGTGTCCTTTCACCAAGTAATTACTGATCGTGTGCGCCTGGCACTCTTCTGTGTGCGTTAGGATGTGAAGTTTACGAAAGTCAACTAGGCATCCACTAGGACAGAGAGAGGGAGGGAGAGGACAGAGAATATGCTTAATACACCTGCTTATCATACAGTAGGTTCTTCAGAAAACTAGGAAACAGCCCTACTGAGAAGATGTGCTGTGAGCAGGGACTTGAAGGAGATGAGGAGTGAGCCTCGTAGATATCTGGGGAACAGCATTTTAGGCTGAGGGACAAGCTACCGCAAAGACTGTGAGGTAGGAGAATGCCTGGTGTTTCCAGACCAGGCGAGGGACAGTCTAGTTCAAATGGTAGGAGCAAGGCTGTGAGTTAGAGGACATGAGGTCACAGAGGTGGCACTAGGAGCCTGGGGGACAGAAGATCGTATCAGTCCATGATACGATCAGTCCCCGTAAGGACAACCGCTTTCCTGTTTACTCAGAGGGCAGTGGGGAACTACTGAGGGGTTTGGAGCAGAGCAGAAACGGTATCTGCTCCCAGGAGGGCATATGCGTCTATAAAGAGATATTTAGGATCTTGTGAACTGCCCCCTACCTTGTGAATATCTGGAACTAAAGGCAAAGAAATTCTTCCTTTCAAGGCAATAGTAGCCACTTCTGATGCTAATAAGCTTCACTCAGGACTGCCTTTCTTCCCTTCATTGTGCCTGATAAGTGCCCCATTTTCTCTCCTATCTGTCCTTGATAGAGACACTGTGATAGCTAGAACTTTAAGGAAGATAAGCATTTTATGGGCCTGGTGACCTCTCTGAATTAGACTTGGGAGCAAAGTTCTGTCTTCCTCCATATTTGCAGTAGAGAAATACTGATCTATAGGAAAGAAATTCTGATTTCTTTCCTTCTCTACCAACCTTGCAGTGTTAGGATTCAGGCCGGCCGAATGGAACGGGTGCTTTCTTTAATGCTCACCTGGGTTATTCCTCACTGCCCCTACCCACCCCGCCCCCACTGCCATCTTGGTCTTCTATGCCTGGTTGAGATGTTTTAGTATCATCAACGGATGGGGGAAATCAGTAAAATCACACTGTTTATCTAACAGTAGAATATTGTCATCTGAACCCATTAGCTTCAGAAAGCGACTGACTGCTCTTGACATTGTATACGTTCGCGAAGTGGGTTAGACGTGTATCAGAAACCTTAGCCCCTTGAGGCTGGTCTAGGAAGGCAGAGAGAGATGTTGGATCTAAGTAGTGTGTGTGCTCACCTTGCCCAGTCCCCCCAACCCATCTTTGATTCTTCAAGGCTCACCTCTCCCCGCCATCTTTGATTCTTCAAGGCCATCCCCTTAAAGAATGAATCCCATGTGCCAAAGCAAGTCATCATATACTGCTCTTTGGCCTGGGGTCCAGCAGTGGCATGATCACTTCTGCCGTGTCCTTTTGTGAAACAATAGCATACATGGTCCATAATAGTTCCCTCGGGTTCTTTTTCAATTTCCCCTTTCTTAGAGGCCATGTGCCTTCGCTGCACCAATTATAGGATAAAGCCCTGGGTTTCATGTGTCGCAGGCCTTCAGGCTCTGGGGGTGTAAATGTTCCTCATTTTCCTTCGATGGTTTCTGACTGGACAGTTTGGGAACTTTGGAGAATAGACCCGAGTACCTTTGGAAGATCCCCCACCCCCTCTAATTTAAGATGCTTAGCAAAGAGTTTTGTTCACCTATAAGCAGAATCCTCCTGCATGGTATTAAATATTCTGTTTTCCTTCTTAAAAATCGTTTGGTCTGGTCAGACCTGCGTCTTCCTCAGCGTTATTGTGAAAGAACCTTCACGGGGTAGCTCTTCACAGATTGGACATGAACATCTCTCCAATCTAACATCTTGCCCAGTGAAATAACCTGGTTCCGCTATTGCGGGGAGACATTAACCCCAGCGGGCATGTTCAGGCTGAGCTGGGACCAAACCAAGAGCCCGCACTAAGTTCGCAGATGAAAGTAGCTGTCAGTTGCCTACCCATAGAGGTGATGGAGATGTTTACGATGTACGGTGAGGTAGTGGCTCATAAATAACGATTCTGAACTTTGCTGCTGAATGCCAGATGTTTTCAGGTAGGTGGGCGCATCCCACTTCTTCTTTGCCTTCCGACTTCTCCCCGACGTGTTTAGGGGGAAAGATTTCTTGACTCATCTTCTCTGAGACCATTCCAGATCCAGTTCCTTGAGAGGGCGATAAAAGACAGTTGTCCCAGTCACTGTTAGGAAACAGACGCTATTGCGAGCATGTTTTCATTTGTCACAGAACCCACAAGGCGCTCAGGGGTAATGGCTCTTCTTTGTATCACAGCTGCTCGAAAGATTGAATGATAGTGAATTTCCTGGAAGGGCGTGTCCAGAAGGGGGGAGTTTGGTGTCCAAGCATCTTTGAATCTGAGAGAAGCTCAAGAGAGTTCTTGTGTGTTGCCCCCCTGACGCTCACATCTCTGGGACATGCATCACCCGGGGAGTGTTCATGGTCCCAAGGCAGCCGTTCCTCTCCCTCTGACTTGTCTCTAGTTTCTGCTCTGATGGTCACAAGCTTCCCGGGGAAGAGGAGGGACGGCACGCCGGAGGGGGAGAATGAAGACCCTACTTTTGCCACGTTGAGAAATCCATCGGTCGGTCACTGCGGTCGGGCCTGGATTGGGTTTGCAGCCCTGAAGTGATAAGGCTTCCATTCTATTCTGAGTCCTGACGCTTTCGCTAGTGTGGGATACCGACCCCGTGGCTTTCCTTTCTTAACCCCACAGTTCAGGGAGAAAAACTAAAAGTAACTTCATTTTGTCTTTTTTTTTTTTTTTTTTTTTTGTAACTCAAACTCTGAATCAAATGGCTGCCAAGTATTTTTTTTGCTTCCTTAATTAATTTTAAGGAAGCGGCCAATGACGTCTCTGGGCAGTGGGGGAAGTGGCAAGGGTGACATTTGCTTAAAATCCCAGAATGTTTTTTTGCCCACAACACTGAAATGAAAAAGTCAGGCCATGGAGCTGAATAAAATACACGCCAGTGGATTTGATGCCCAGAAAGATTGTATCTCTTGGGCAGTACTTCAGCTCATGAATAAAACTCTGCCGGGAATAAGTGCTCAGTGTTGAACTTTACTGACTGGCCTCAGTGGAAGGGCGCTGGGCATGAATCGACATGGATGTTAAAACTTTTCTTGCTAAGAAAATTTTATCAGATTGTGAGATCCTTGGGGACAGTAAGTTCTAGGCCTCATGGCCTTGTTCAATCTGCTTTCTTAGTATCTGGCAAGTGCCTTGCGTATAGTAGGCTGTTCCTTATTAACTCACTAATCCTCACTCTAAATCTATGTGGTTATTAGGTAATTATCCTTATTTTATAGGTAACATAGCCATTTAGTTCTGGTGCCCAGTTTTGAACCGGCTCCAAGGCCCTTATTCTTCCTTTTTTTTTTTTTTTTTTTTTTAAGTTTATTTATGTAATATTTTTGGGAGAGAGCAAGAGAGTGAGCAGGGTAGAGGCAGAGAGAGAGGGAATGAGAGAGAATCCCAAGCAGGCCCCATGCTGTCAGCGCAGAGCTGACACGGGGCTCAAACAAATCACGAGATCATGACCTGAGCTGAAATCAATAGTTGGACACTTAACCACCTGAGCCACCTAGGCATCTCGGGTCCTTATTCTTAATCATGGCACCATCTGCTTCAGCCGCTAGCTGGGCATCTGAGGAGGAAGCTGAAGTCTTGATTTATTAAAATGGACGGGGTCCTCCTTTGCTTGCTTGCTTGCTTGCTTGCTTGCTTGCTTTCTTTCTTTCTTTGTTTTTTAAGTTTTTAATTTATTTTTGAGTGACAGACTGTGTGTGTGGGAGGAGCAGAGAGAGAAGGAGACATGGAATCCGAAGCAGGCTCCAGACTCTGAGCTGTCAGCACAGAGCCCGATGTGGGGCTCGAACTCATAGACTGAGATCACGACCTGAGCTGAAGTTGGACGCTTAACCGAATGAGCCACCAGGCGCCTCCCCCTTGGCTTTCTTTCTTTCTTTCTTTTTTTTTTTTAAATGCTTTATTTGTTTCTGAGAGAGAGAGAGAGAGCGTGAGCAGGGGAGGGTCAGAGAGAGAGAGAGATGCAGAATCTGAAACAGGCTCCAGGCTCTGAATTGGCAGTCAGCACAGAGCCCGACGCAGGGCTCGAACCCATGAACCGTGAGATGGTGACCTGAGCCGAAGTTGGACACTTAACTGAATGAGCCACCAGGTGCCCCCTCCTTTGCTTTCTTGTCTGATAGCAGAATCTCCAGGTATGCCCGTCTGCTTCCTTTTGAGTTTTTAGTTTACTGAAATCTAGACCCTAGTGTCCCCCAATAGGTTGAATAAAGAAATTACATATAATGGTCTGTTTTACTTCCTGGGATACCATGATTGCCAAGGCTTGTAAGTTTTGTCTTCACCAATGGAAATAAGCAGCCCCCAGATAGAAACACTTTTTCAAATCTTTACAGCTTGCCCTGACATAGGGGAGTGGTGCTTTGCTGTTTCCATAATGGGGACAAATTTCACGCAAAATCTATTAACTAGAACTCTTCTTGTGGTAACTAATGTGCAATCTGCATCTTCAGAGAAGTGGAACTACCTCGCGCTCATTCTCTCAAAAGCAGTCCCGTTTGCTGCTGTTACCAACTGTCTCTTCATACCGCAGATAAGGGTCAGCAACTGTTGTCTTAATATTGTCCACATTCCTTTTTTTTTTTTTTTTTTGTTTAAACAGCTTTAACTGAAATCAGTTCTACATATCAAACAAACATTTAGTTAATGTAAACTGAAACCCTTTCACATGACTGGGTGTTCTCAGGCTAGCTATTTGAGCCATTTTCACCATTGGTAAATCTTCACAAGTTGCTTTTGTTGGCTTCGTGAAAGTTCAATATGGATAAATAGAGAAATTCTTTGTGGTAACAGGTAAAGCTGTACTAGTTGGACTGTATGGGGAACACGGTTTCCTTAGCAAAAGTCAGACGACCCAACGTTAACCTCTAGGCTGTGAATGCTCAACATTTCTTTAGAGGGCAGAGGTCAAAAGAGTTTTGGGGATGAATGGAGTTGTACATTGACCGTAAAATTTGATTTTTTCAAGGTGAAGATGAGTTTTAGGAGATTTGGAAAATGGATAGGAAGCACTTTCTTACCCTTCCAAAACTTTCCTCAGCCTCTCTTCTACATATATTGGGGTTATTTCATTTGCAAAGGACCAAAAATTCAACCAGAATTGGCTTAAGTATAAAAGGCTTCAGAGTGCCTGAGTGGTTCAGTTGGTTAGGCATCGGACTTCGGCTCAGGTCATGATCTCACGGTTTGTGAGTTTGAGCCCACGGCACGCTGTGTGCTGACACCTCGGAGCCTGGAACCTGCTTTGGATTCTATGTCTCCCTCTCTCTCTGCCCCTACCCTGCTGTGCTCTCTCTCTCTCAAAACTAATAAATAAATAAAGCTTAAAGAAAATTTAAATAGGTTTAAAAAATAAATAAAAGACTTCAGGAATAGCTTGATGAAGAGCCAGGTGGTATCACCAGCAGCTGGTTTTTATCTTTTTCTCTCGCAGTTGCTTCCTACTGGGGTGTCTCCATTTTTCTCATTTGGTGGTGGAATGGTTATAGAATGCTCTTCCTGAATCTTCTCATAGTCTCCAGACTTACTGTGATTGAACACACCGCGATTGCTTCCATACCTAATTCTGTGACCAGAGACATGTGGTGGGCTGATTGGCTGACACTTGGGTTGTACACTTCATCCCTGGTATTGGGGCTGGAGCTCTACCCAGGCCACATGGGCTGAGACTGGGGAAGGGAGTGAGCAAAACCCAAATGAATAGCAGGGTTTTGCTAGAGTATAAGGAGGAATGCTGAGGAGGCAAATAATAACCTTAATAATAACCCTATAGGTTCATAGGAAGGAAGAGCAATTGTTAATGTCTTCATTGTTCTTTCTACTTCTTTGCCCTGACTTGAACAGTAGCAATTTGAATGGCTGTAGGTTTAGTGGATACCCCATAATCGACTTTGTATTGTTTAGTTATAAGGGCTAGGGTTCTCACCGGCTCTGCCTGGCCCATGGTACATTCTTTTATTTATTTTAAATCTAAGAAATCTTGAAACTGGCTGTCTCTTAATATGTATCTGTTTTGCTCGAAGTATCAGTCTTTAATAAAGGTGTTTAATAAAGAACATATTCTGATTCTCTCTTCCCTGTCCTACATTGTGCAGGCTGCTGTATACTTTAGGTTCTCTGTATTTGTGTTTTGTCTTGCCTTTTTGTAAAATTTGTTTGTTTGTTTCTTTATTTATTTAGAGAGGTAGAGGGCGCAAGTTAGCCAGAGGTAGAGAGAGAGAGAGAGAGAAAGAGAATCCCACGAGGGGCAGAGAGAAGCGGGTGGAGAGAGAGAGAAATGGGGTTCACCTGGGGCTTGAGCTCACCCCAATACAAGACTCAAACTCACAAACCCCGTGAGATCATGACCTGAGCCAAAGTCAGATGCTTAACTGACTGAGCCCCCCAGGCTCCCTGAAATTTTTTACTTATTTATTTATTTTCCAGTATCTGTTGTTGATTTCCGTATATAGTCCCATCATGTCTGGCTAATAAGTGTGATGGGAAAACCCCTCTCCCGCCCAAGCTGGGCTGTCCTACTATGTAGACCTAAGTTTTAAGGTTACTCTTTTTTTTTGTTTTTTTGATGTTTATATATTTTTCAGAAAGAGAGAGAGAGAAAGAACAAAAGAGTCTCAGAGATAGAGGAAGACAGAGGATCTGAACCTGGGGCTCGAACTCACGATCCATGAGATCATGACCTGATCCAAAGTCCGACACTTAACTGACCGAGCCACCCAGGCGCCCCTTAAGACTACTTTTGTCTTGGCTTTGCAGAAATGCTCTGGAGACTCCCAAGTTATATGGGTTAGGCTGAGCTTTTCTCCCCTTTTCTCACCCAATGGCAATTCAGTCACTGGAGGGGAATCGAGTGACAGTATTGCCCTTGATTGTCCCTCATGAGGGGATTTTAACAACTGCCTTCTCCTTATGGCCCACAGGTTGAGTTCGAGTGGCTGAGACAGTTTTGGTTTCAAGGCAATCGATACAGAAAATGCACCGATTGGTGGTGTCAACCCATGACCCAACTGGAAGAATTATGGAAGAAGATGGAAGGTGTGGTAAGTACCTGAGATCTGGGGCTGTATTTTCTGGGATGCTGGGCTGTGTAACTCCTCTGCTGCCTCATTTGTGTAGGCAAATATGTAATTCATGATTCTAAATTACCGAGTTAGGTAACTCTTCCTAAGGAATGACCAGGATTTTGTCAGGACAAGCTCACTTGAGTTCAGTGCGCGTTTTACTGAGTATTTCCCATATATCAGACACTGTGCTGGACACATGCCTAGGAAGTGACAAGGCAGGAGGCACAATGGAACAATAAGATTTAAAATTCCTTTGTATTTTTCGGTGCACTGGGCACTGTTCTAAGGGCTTCCTACAAACTGTAGAAACTCTTACGAGTCTTAACTTATAGATGTGAAAACTGAGACATCGAGAAAGTAGGTGGCTCACCCAAGGTCATGGAGTAAGTGGCCAAGGGAGATCGAGACCCAAGCAGCCTGGCTCTGTAGCTTGTGCTCTTAACTGCTACATTCAGCTTAACAAGGAGAGAGACATGGATATCACCAGGTGTTAACATTGGCCAAAATGAAAGCCTGTAACAGAGATTTAAAAAGGAAAAAGAAAAAATCACAGGCCAGAGGAGGGAGTATTAAATTCCTGCCACTGGACCAGGACTGTTGTGAAACAGCAGATGTTGCCCTTGGGGACTTTGGATGGGGAGGCGTAGGGTCAGATAGGGCATTTGGAGAGGGGCATCAGGCTCCAGGAACTCTACAAGCGAGCCTGGAAATGGGGCAGCCCAGCGCCAGAGCAAGGGATCCGGGAGGGTCGTCAGAAGCGTAGCTAGAAGGCAAATTGAGGCCACTTGCCCATTTTGAATTAAGTCTCAATTTAAATAATAGCAATCATGGTGGGCTCTTATTTGATACTTATTAAGTACCAGGCACTATTCTGAATGTTTTATGTATAACTTATTTAACTTTTATGGCAAGCCCATAAAGTAGGTACGATGGGTCCCCGGTTCATAAACCGGGAGAGTGAACCACAAAAGGTTTATGTAACTTCCTCCAGATTGTGCAGCTCATAAGCGGAGGGGAACTGGGATTCGAACCCAGGAAGGCTGGCTCGAGGGTCCCGCCCTTCGCTGCCTCCCTGTGCTGCCTCCAGACCGTTGCATTTGAAACACAGTGGAAAAGTGTTGTAAAAGCCTGCTGTGCCCGGACGTGGTGCCTGCACAGACTCAGGCTTGGGCTGGAAACCAGGATCTGCTCTGCCAAAGTGGGTAGCTGTGGCCCACCGCTGTTGTATGGTCCCACCGCTGTTGTATGGTCCCTAAAACATCAAGTCACCACCCTGGAGGGGTCTTGGTTTGAACGTCGAGGTCAGAATCTGGACCCTTGCTTTCCAGACATCTCTTCAGATGTTTAAATCCTGCCTTTCGATGGATCCGTGTCTGAAGAAGGAATGTTAATAATCCTTTTATTGTCCTAATAGCATCACAAAAATGGATTCTGCCAAGGAGCTGAACTGACTTGGTGTAAAACCGAGCATTGTAAAAGTGAGCTGGAGGTAATGAAATGTCCATGCTTAAATCTCCTTAGTTAGTTCTATTCCTAAGATTAGCCTGTGCGGCGTATGCTCCATTTTTATGGGATGTATACATAAATTCAGCTTCATTTCCAGGGCTTTTTTTTTTTTTTACGGTGTTATTCTCAGCTTGGCCATTTACATCTGAGTTAGAAGAACCTCTTTATTTGCCAGACTCTGAGCCCAAGACGTCAGGTGGACTTTGGGATTGTAATTTGACGACCCCACATATTAGAATTGGCAAATTAATAAGAAAAGAACTCACTGATTTTAAGAGGCGCCTGGGTGGCTTCATCGGTTAAGCGTCCGACTTTCGCTTAGGTCATGATTTCGCGGTTTGTGGGTTCAAGCCCCGCGTCGGGCTCTGTGCTGACTGCCAGCTCAGAGCCTGGAGCCTGTTTCAGCCTGTGACTCCCTCTCTCTCTGACCCTCCCCTGCTCACGCTGTCTCTCTCTCTCTCTCTCTCTTAGAAATAAAAAAAAAAAAAAACTCACTGATTTTGTAAAATAAAGAAATAATAAATAAATATGTATATTTGCACTATTGTTCAAGGTTTTATTTTTGTTTTTTGGTTTTTTTTTTTTTTTGGTCTTTTAGACAGAAGGCTCCGGTATTGTGAGCTTACTGATTATATTCATTGTGAATTCAGTTAGAAGATTTAGTTGTAATTTTTTTTTTTTTAATCGGACCGTAGCACATTAGTCAGATGGGATATCTTCTGTTTACTTTATAACTCTTGTATAAAAAATACCAAGAAGAGCAATCCTGGGAATTCTCCAGAGCGAGCTTCCTCGCAGTTGGTGTGGCATTACTGAGTGTTCCAAGCGAAATCAATGGTCCCAGTGCCTCTCCTCAGCAAGCCCCGGGGTGATCATTATCAGCAGAGTGAAGGTTTGGGCCAATAGAAGAGGGATGATCCTTCTAAATTAAATTTAAGCATGGCTCCAAGCCCCTCTAAATGGCTTTTAACAAATTCATAATAATTTATTTTTGCTATTGGAAGAGACAGAAGATCATGGTCATTGGGAAGGTCTACGGTTCTGCGGCTGTGTCAGCACAGGGCCATCTGGTATTCGTGTCCCCCATAAGGCCAGTTCATTCCTGCTTTGTACCAGCCCACCTCGTGAGTTCGCACTTGCAAGCAGTAGGGGGCACTGTTGAGCTACCTGTTTGAGGCCTCAAGATGCCGGCCTCTCAGGAAAACGCATACAAATGTACCATTAACTGTCAAGAATTATCCCTGTTGCTTCAAGTTAGCTGTAATCTCCAAGATTCCATAACACAGGAAATCAGTTGTGGGTTAACAAATTCAACAGCAATTTAACATAAAAAGTGCAGTGTTTGGTGCACATTTGGATTCTATAGAATTAGACGACTCTGAACGGCCTTTCTGAATGTACTCGCTTTGCTTCCAGGGAATATATTACTCAAAATCATGATCCTTCTCGACAAATGATTCTTCTTTATCTCTGTGCTTTCTCTTTTCAAGTTGTAAAATCATGTGCGTGTTGTGGAAAGACTGCTCTAATTAGTGCCTTTCGTCTGTTCTGCCCCATAGCATCGGTCTCTTTTGGTGAAAACAAAACAGAAAACCCCAGGCGAAAGGTACATTCCTTTTCACCTTTTGCTTCTGAGTAAAGCAACCTTGGCCGGCTCCGTACCAGGGAAGAGACTCATGCTGTGATTTCTCTCTCGCTCTGTGTCGCCTCTTTTTATTTATTTACCTTTCTCACTTTGTGGTTGAGAGGTATCGTCTCAGGTTGGATATAGAAGAACGGAAAAGGTGCTTTGAAATCGCATTTCTTCCATTAATGATTATTGCTTCACATGTCACAACCAGTCACATATTTTGAGAAGTTTCATCCACTGCCTCTAAAGCTCCTCTGGCCTCTGCTATCCGTTCCCTGTTCCAGCAAGCACCGCTTTTATTCTTGCCGTTTCTCTCCCCGAGGATAGTTTCACTCCGGGCTTGCTCTTGTGATGTAAATGTTAAACCTTATATTTGAATGACATTCTGATAAAATATCATATTTTCCCCTGAATATTACCTCATGAATGTACGAGCCATTAAGCCCAAAAGCAGCACAACCCTTTCTTAGAACCCCAGCATTTAGCCTTACCTTTCCTCTCATTTTTGCTCCCAGTTCAGGAAGGCACTAGAATGCTAGAGCGCTGTGCAAATAGTGTGCATTTTCTTTTCTTTTCTCCACCCAGCCCACCACCTCACAACCGAGATTAGCGCCTTACGAGGAGACTTTCTCCAGGATAAGAGAGAGTTACCATTTGAAAGAAAGTGTACAAGCTTTGCTTTCTGGGTAAAGAGAAATATGAAAAGCCAAAGTCTCCTGTGAGGTGAGGAAGCCTTGCTGTAGCCAGAGATTCAATGGATAGGCCATTTGTCTCTCAGGGTCTGGTATCACACTCTGCAAAACTGACATTTATTTTACCTATAAAAATGTTTTTAACACCATCAAATTCACAGTGAGTCGAAAAAGAATGCTAGGTGTGATGTCCCCTTAAATTGCCGACATGTATTCATTTCCTTTTGACCTTAAAAAAACCAAAGGTCACTGTAGTATAATCCGATGGAAATATTCTAGGACGATTTCCGGAGTCAACATTTTCGGAAGTACTGATGACTGATAGACCGGAGAGAAATTTCTTCACGCTTTTTTTTTTTTTTTCTTTTTAATTGCTTCCCTCTTGTAGAAGAAGAGTAGATCCTGATCATTTTGAATGTTTTGAATTGCATTTCATGTCTCAACGGTTCTTCTTCTGGGGGATTGCAGTGCATTTATATGGCAGTTGGCCTTAACAACTTTTATTGACTTTAGTGGGTAAGAGCCAGGATGGGATCATTTTAATATATCCTTTTGGAAACGGTGTAAAACACAACATACAATTATGTTAGGTAAGCTATGGGTTATGTTAAATTCTCCCCATTTGTGTTAACAAGTTTGGCACAGGAGAGCAGGGAGATGTGGAAAGTGAGTAGATGTTTTATTCTCTTAGCAGTTTCTTGTTATTCAAGTCTTCAGCGAGAAAATGTACTTCTGGACGTAAAGGTTGTCCTTTACAAGTTAGTTATAATAGTTTAATTTCGAGATGAGTCATCTGTTTTTGCTTGTCATTTTGGCCTGTGTAAATCATCTGGGAGAGCTTGCGGCCAGGTGGCTGTCCACTGCCGTCGGTAGAGCCTTTCTCGGTATAAGTTACACAGTCACAGGCAGTGACGGAGCTAAAGTGGAGTTTGTTTGTTTTCGGAGAGATTAATGAAGCTATCATCACCATGTGTTAGATTAAATTCTTTGTAACTGAATAGAGGAACAAGGCTGCTTTTTCACACGCTGTAATCATACTAAGTATACTGGTATTTGCCATTCTATTACAGTTCAGTTAGCTAAGTTCATTTTGTTTTTATTTTTTAATATATTTTTTAATGTTTTATTTATTTCTGAGAGAGAGAGAG